TGGGGTGAGGAGGAGATGGGGTGAGGCGGAGATGGGGTGAGGAGGAGATGGGGTAAGGCGGAGATGGGGTGAGGAGGAGATGGGGTGAGGCGGAGATGGGGTGAGGAGGAGATGGGGTGAGGAGGAGATGGGGTGTGGAGGAGATGGGATGAGGAGGAGATGGGGTGAGGCGGAGATGGGGTGAGGAGGAGATGGGGTGTGGAGGAGATGGGGTGTGGAGGAGATGGGGTGAGGAGGAGATGGGGTGAGGAGGAGATGGGGAGAGGCGGAGATGGGGTGAGGAGGAGATGGGGTGAGGCGGAGATGGGGTGAGGAGGAGATGGGGTGTGGAGGAGATGGGGTGTGGAGGAGATGGGGTGTGGAGGAGATGGGGTGTGGAGGAGATGGGGTGAGGAGGAGATGGGGTGAGGCGGAGATGGGGTGAGGAGGAGATGGGGTGAGGCGGAGATGGGGTGAGGAGGAGATGGGGTGAGGCGGAGATGGGGTGAGGAGGAGATGGGGTGAGGAGGAGATGGGGTGAGGCGGAGATGGGGTGAGGAGGAGATGAGGCGGAGATGGGGTGAGGAGGAGATGGGGTGAGGAGGAGATGGGGTGTGGAGGAGATGGGGTGAGGAGGAGATGGGGTGAGGCGGAGATGGGGTGAGGAGGAGATGGGGTGTGGAGGAGATGGGGTGAGGAGGAGATGGGGTGTGGAGGAGATGGGGTGAGGAGGAGATGGGGTGAGGCGGAGATGGGGTGAGGAGGAGATGGGGTGAGGCGGAGATGGGGTGAGGGATGGGGAGATGAACACGTATGCGACGGAAGCGGAGAATGCCTTCTCGGTCGAGGGGAGGGTGCGTGCGTGCGTGACGGCACTGGAGTGAGGGTGGGCGACGGATGGGGCCGAACGCGACTTGGAGGGAGCGAGCGTGGGCGGCGGAAGGGGAGTGAGCGTGGGATACGGAGGGGAATGAGCGAAGGCGACGGGAGGGAGGTGAGCGTGGGCGACGGTGTGGAGGAGAGTGTACGACGTACGGGCAGTGAGCGTGGGCGACGGAAGGGAGTGAGAGTGTGCGACGTACGGGCAGTGAGTGTAGGCGACGGAAGGGAGTGAGAGTGTGTGACGTACGGGCAGTGAGCGTGGGCGACGGAAGGGAGTGAGAGTGTGCGACGTACGGGCAGTGAGCGTGGGCGACGGATGGGGAAAGAGCGTGCGCGACGGGGAGGAGTGAACGCGACGAGAGGGAGTGGGCGTGGGCGACGGAGGGGAGTGAGCATGTGCGACGGAGGGGACCGTCGCGGCGGGAGGGAGTGAGCGTGGGCGGCGGAAGGGGAGTCGTCGTGCAGCGCCGGGATGGAGTGCGCGTGGACGGCGGGAGGAGATTGAAAGAGAGCGCCCGGAGCGGGCGGCAGCGTGCGGCGAGAGGGAATTGGCCGTGTTCCCCGAGCGGGGGTGGAGATTGTGCGATGTAAGGATTGCGCGAAGGCGAAGGAAAGGGAGTGAGCGTGGGCGACGGGAAGGGAGCGAGCGCGGGCGAGGGAAGTGATTGAGAGTGGGCGACGGATCGATTGCGCGTAGGCGATGGGAAGGGAGTGAGCATGGGCGACGAGAAGGTCTTGAGCGTGGCCAACGAAAGGGAGTGCGCGTGGGCCGAGGTAACTGACGGAGTGCGCGTGGGTGACGGAAGGGAGTGTGTGTGACCGGTCTCGGCGCTCCCGCGTGGGCGATGGGAAGGAATTTGTAATCCGCGACGGAACAGCGCGTACGTGACAATGGGGATTGCGCGAAGGAGACGAGAGGGGAGGGAGCGTGCTCTGTCTCGCGAGGCAGCGTGAGCGATGGAGGGGAGTGCGTGTGTGGGACGGAAGGGAACTGAGTGTGGACTACGGGGAGAAGAAGCGAATGTGCCGAAGTAGGTCGATAAACCTGAGAAACGCGGACGGAGAGGACCCCGCGGCTATGAACAGGGGCGACATCGATGCGGTGGGCATTGGGGAGGTGCAACGTGGGCGAGTAGAAGCGGAAAGGCTAAAATCGGGAAAAGATATATTTTTGGCACATACGGAAAGGAGTATTAGTCCTAACGAGTAAGGCGGGTCTAAGAGGCCTGGGGCTGGAATGAGGTTGGAGCGTAGCTGTTCTAAGATATGGCTGCCGCTGGTGCTGGTCGGACTAGGCAGTTTCTATCGACCTGAATTACAAGTTTCCAGTTTGGTGTGCACACCAATGCCAGAGTGGTTGCGTAGGAACCGAGCGACACTTCTCTTCGCTGCCTGCGACTCCATCACGTTTTGCAGGTGAACAACTGGTAACCACCCTGGTTCGGGAGGGAAGGTGTTAACACCTCCCAACTTTTTTTGTAATTCAGGCTGTGGGTTTTAAATTTAGCAGGCCTAACAGGGAAACACTACACTACATACCGGTACATGACATTAGCTAGCTGCTCATTTCATCTTCATCACTAGAACTACCTCCTGCATCTCCTACTGGCTCCTCCTCATCATCTACATCTACTGGCTCCTCCTCGTGCTTGCCCTTCTTGTTCTCGCCTGGGGTTAGGGTGCAAATGGGAGCATTGCTGAAAGGCTTGCGCTTTCTGTAACTCCGCCAGATCTCAACTACCTCATCGTAGTTGGGCTCGTACTGCATGAGGGACAGACACATGAGGTCACCCAGCCTCGCGACCTTGATCCCCCCTCTCCGCCATGTCTTAAAGCAAGGGTGCACATTGGGGGGGGTGGAGGCAAAGGTTTATCACTTAGCCTCCACGTGGTTACCCAGTTTGTGTTGTGAATCCGAGCGAACCACGCTTTAGTGTTGGCGGACTTGCGCGGGTTGTTTCTCCCCCGTCGTCAATTGCGACTGCCCAACCGGGAGTTGGGAACTTGAGTCACAACCAGCCAGTTTGTGAACCATGACGCAGTTGCCTCTCCTACCACGACACCAATAGCAGGTAATAGCTTAGCAACCACAACCCCGCCATCATCAGAGCATTAGCACAGGCGAACAATAAACTAGACTGCGAGAGCAGCACAGTTACGCCGTCGTCAAATGTGAGGCTTAGGGTTACGACCATCGAATTCATCGCGCCCGCCCCGTGTTTATCTCGCCTGCACTGGATCCGGGTTACGCCCGCGACGTCCAGTACAACTTAGGCTCGCATTTCGCCGCGACGGCGCACGCAGCACGCGATGCGCCGGGAACACAAATCGCTTCCCTTCTAGCCATCGCAGCGCCTCTGCCCTCGCCCCCGCAGTAACTCGCATCTCCCCTCGCATGCACCCTTCTCCTCGGCGTCGCGCCGTTGACGTAGAGTAACATCGCATTTCAATGCTCCAACCGTCATTTGGTCCCCGTTCGGCGCCAAACGTCGTCTAACGTCGTTCGTAGTTGTCGCAGTTCGTCGCTGGCCGATCGTAGATCGCCATTCCACTCGTCGTTCGTCCCCGTGTTCAAATGTCGAAGCTTGACTGTCGCCGCTAATCAGCACCCTTCCTTCCGCCCCTCTGTCCCCTTATTCGCCTCCCTTGCTGTCCTCTTGGCCCTCCCTGCCCCCTCACCCTTACCTTCCCTCCCGCCCCTCATCTCCCTCCCTGTCCACAGGCAAGTTATGAGCTCTCCCACTGCTGTCCGGGATTGAGTAGCGCCAAAAACGTAAAGCGAACCGAAATCAGTAGAGAGGATGCGTGAGGCGCGGACAGGGATGAGAATCCATAACGCGGAGCTGATGGGGGCGAGAAAACGCGACCTGGTAAGCAGCGATTTGTGAGGGAGGTCAGCAGCAAGACAGCGAGAAGGATGGGGGGAATAATTGCGAGAAGGATACCGAGAAGGCAGAGGGGGATTAGCTGCGAGAAACGCAAGGATGGGGTGGGGGGTGGGAGGGAGGGGATGAGGAGCGAGAAGGGAGGGGATAGGGGAAAGGAAATAAGCACGAGTAGGCAGAAAATAACCCTTACTCCCTTATATTCCCTTTCCCCTCTCTCCCTTCCTCCCATCGCTGCCCTTTCCCCTCTCTATCCCTTACTCCCATTTCTTTCCCCTTTCTCCCTTACCCCCTTCGCTGCCCTTTCTCCCCTGCTTACCTTTGTTTCCCCCCTGCTCGCTCTTTGGTTTTCCCCTGGTTACCCTGTGTTCCCCCCCAATCTACCCTTTGCTTCCCTGCTGCTGACACTCTGGATTCACTCTGTTTTCCCTCTTCACCCTTGTTCCCTTGTTCCCCTACTTACTCTGTCTCCGACCTGTTGTGCTCATGCTCTTACGATCTGTCCCCCTGGCTTCTCCTTCCCACCTTTTCTGTCCGTACTGTGGTGCAGCTCGTCAAGCAGAAGCAACCAAGAATTCAATAACTAGTTACATTTAGGAGAGTGTGGTGTGGACACGGCGTATCCAAACGTCAGTAGTTTTACAAGATACATTCAATCAATCAAGGGCTTCATATGCAATAGTGAGGACCTGAATCCTGATTATGTGTGGCTATACTGGTATGTGAAGGTCTCATTTTGAAACACTGCTTCATTAGGAGGACAGAATTGTACAGTAGTCTTATAAATATCTCAATGCACAACTCAGCCTTCCACCAATCCTGTCGCCTCAGCTCCTCAATGTACTCTTGTACTGCTGCTGCACACTCTTCGCCGCCAAACTTGCAAAGGCACAGCTTCGCCCTGCACGTACCGTAGTAGTTGGGAGTAAGGATGGGGAGAAAGGGAGGAGAGATGGGGAGGAAGGGATGACAGAGCATGAGGAAGGGATGAGAGATGGGAAGGGAGGAGAGACGAGAGGATGGGTGGATTGAACGTAACAGAAGTAGTGCTTAGTTGAGGGACAAGAGGTGGCTTGCTTGGCGAGGATGAGGGGAGAGGCGAGGACGTCACTAGGGACAAAGGGAGAAGGGCTTAGGTGAAGGCGTGTTCAGGAGCAGGAGCATCAGCATAAGCAGCAGAAACAGCCATCGTTGAGCAGGCGGCTAAGGGAGGAGCGGACTGCCAGTTCCCATGCCACCATCTCCTTCGCTTGCCTAGCTGCCGCCCCCTTGCCCCTCCTTGCAACACCCAAGCAGCGCAGCAGATAGGAGAGCAGGGGGTGAGTTGATGATGTGAGAGCATGGTGTGAGAGTAGGCAAGGCTGAGGGCAGGTGATGAAGTGAGAGGGCTTGGTGCGACTGGGATGAAAGGCATGGGATGAGAGGCATGGGATGAGAGGCATGGGATGAGAGGCATGGGATGAGAGGCATGGGATGAGAGGCATGGGATGAGAGGCATGGGATGAGAGGCATGGGATGAGAGGCATGGGATGAGAGGCATGGGATGAGAGGCATGGGATGAGAGGCATGGGATGAGAGGCATGGGATGAGAGGCATGGGATGAGAGGCATGGGATGAGAGGCATGGGATGAGAGGCATGGGATGAGAGGCATGGGATGAGAGGCATGGGATGAGAGTGAGCCAACCTGAGTCAGCCACGTGGCCGTTGACCTGTGCATCAAGAGAATCGGACGGTTGCAACGGTTTCTCGCCACGTGGACCTTTGAGATTGGGGAATGGAAGTGAAGGGAGGAAGGGGAGGAGCGACCTGGGGGGAAGGGGAGGAGCGACCTGGGGGGAAGGGGAGGAGCGACCTGGGGGGAAGGGGAAGTATTGGATGAGGCGGAATGGGGTGGGGCGGAATGGGGTTTGGCGGAATGACAGGGGGTAGAGAGAAGGACAGGGGGAGAGAGAAGGACGGGGGGAGGAGAAGGACAGGGGGGGGAGAGGAGGACAGGGGGGAGAGAGAAGGACAGCGGGGAGAGAGAAAGACAGTGGAAAGAGAGAAGGGCAGCGCAATGAGAGGAGGACAGGGGGGAGAGAGAAGGATAGGGGGGAGAGAGAAGGACAGGGGGAAGAGAGAAGGACAGGGGAGAGAGAGAAGGATAGCAGGGAGAGAGAAGGACAGGGGGGAGATGCGGCGATGTGGTGGCGATGCGGCGATGTGGCGGCGGTGGGGCGGCGATTACTTGCTGAGGAGGCGAGGCGGCGATGTGGCGCCCCCTGGCATCGTCACCTGTCGCCTCAGTTCCGCCACGTCTCCCCCCTCCTCCCTCCGCTCCCCTCTTCCTCCCCTTCCACCCCACTGCCCCGCTCTCTCCCATGAGATATGTTGGCTCCGCTGCTGCAGGCGCGCGCGCATCGGGGGAGGGTGTCCGCAAACACGCGAGAGGCTGGCACAGAGGCTGTGCCAGGCATGAGGTGTGCGGGAAGCGCGGGGGGAGAGTGGTCTGGCTGGCGGGGGAGAACGCCTTGGTCCGCGCGTTCGCTGTCGCTCTCCACCTCCTCTGCACCTGGGGTAGCGGGTTCTGTCGGTGCTGCCAGGGCGATTGAGGCCAAGGGAGGAGGGCGCGGAATGAGCGGCGCAAAGGCATGGTGCGCTGGCGAGGCACCATCACGTGCGCGGGCGACTGCTGCGGCGGCTGCCTCTAGCATCGTTCAACCCAGCGCCCCTGATGTCGTCACGGCTGAATCTCGCCCGCCGCCCGCAACCGTTACTCCCGCGGCTTCTCGCTGCAGCGGAAGGCACAGCAGGAGCGCTCATAGGCGTGGTAAGGTAGGCGGAGGAGGAGGCGCGCGGGTAGCGACACGTCCACGCCCACCGGATGGCGCGGCCCCGCCACGCCCATCGCATACTTCGCTGACAGCGGGTGAGTTAGGGCGGAAATGCAGGGGAGAGTCGCCAGACGAAAGCGGCGGAACAGGTTTGCACAAGGTGAAATGCCATGGCAAAACGACGCACCGCGCAGGCGACGACGCCGCGAGCAAGTCGGGATGACACTACTCGTGGGCTATGTCGTAGTGACGGACGGGAATGGTTGCTTAGATTACTGCTTTTGTGATGTCGTTAGCACCTGGTTTGAGGTCGAAGCTCCTCTCCCTGGATTATCACTCGCTTTTCTCGGGTTGACCAACTCAGTTTCTTCGCTCCGGTTCTCTGTTTGCACCCTCGCTTGATTTCCGCCCTTCCGCGGTGTGTTCCCCCAACCCAACCCTCATACGAGTTTGGTTGGCATCGCCAGCCTTGTTTCAATTCCTCGCACCAGCTTTCAGCACCCTAAACAATTCGCCCTCGAATCAGCAAGCGCCAAAGGGTGTGCACTAACATTGCCCCCAAAAACCACCCCTAGGAAAGTGCACCCTTGCTTTAAAACCGAAATGCAAAATAGTGAACCCGTCTCCAGCTTGAAAGAGAGCCTGTCGAGCGAAACAATTTTCAAAACCAAACTGACAAGTTTGCACTGTTTCATTGAGAGGGTTTGAACAGATCGAACAAATCTGATTGGTTCCCGCCAAAACTGAAAAAAGGAACACAGCACGTCAGGCGTCGCATCTCTGTTTGGGGAGCCGCAGAGCAGAAGCACTGCGAACGTTTTGTCACGTCCCTGCGATTTTTTGCCCAGCTTGTGGTTCAAGTTGGGCATGGGTGAAGTACTACTACGTCTTCCGTTCAGTTTTTCGTGCTTCTTAGTTTTTAGTTGCTTGTCTAGCCATATAGCCCCAACTTAGGCTGTTGTTACCGCAACTTAGGCGCGTAGTGATTATATGTTATGATTGCGCAGTAATTGTGTCGTTTAGATTACCCTCTCGCCGCCTTCCTATCCCGCCTCACTCGTCCTCCCGACTCACTCGTCCTCGCGCCATCCGTCCCGACGCCGTCCCGTCGCCCGAATTGTCGCCTCCATCGACGTCGCCCTCGCTATCTCCCGTCGCGGCCCTCCCCTCAGTTCGCGTCGCCACGCTATCTCTCCCCTCCCCTCCCATCGCCCTTCCTCTCCCGTCGCCTTTCCTCTCCCGTTGCCCTTCCTCCGTCGCTTTCCTCTCCCTTCGCCTTTCCTCTCCCGTTGCCCTTCCTCTCCCGTCGCTTTCCTCTCCTGCCGCCCTTCCTTCTCTCCCGCCGCCCTTCCTTCTCTCCCGTTGCCCTTCCTCTCCCGTCGCTTTCCTCTCCCGCCGCCCTTCTTTCTCTCCCGCCGCCCTTCCTTCTCTCCCGTCGCCCTTTGCTCCCGTCGCCTTTCTCTCCCGTTGCCCTTCCTACTCTCCCGTCGCCCTTCCTACTCTTCCGTCGCCCTTCCTACTCTCCCGTCGCCTTTCTCTCCCGTCGCCCTTCCTACTCTCCCGTCGCCCTTCCTCTCTCCTGTCGCCTATTCTCTCTCCCGCCGCCCTTCCTTCTTCCCGCCGCCCTTCCTCTCTCCCGTCGCCCTTTCTTTCTCCCGTCTCCTATCCTCTCTCCCGTCACCCGTCTTCTCTCCCGTCGCCCCTCCCCTCCCGTCTTCCTCTCTTCCGTCGCCCTTCATCTCTCCCGCCCTATCACCCACCTCGGCGTCTTCGCGCTCGCCCCGAAATGCCTGCCCGTCGCCCCGTGATCGTCGGCCCCTCTCGCTTTTCCCTCGCAGCGTTACTCTCCCCGTCACATATGCCCTCGCTTTTTTCGTCGCTCCTCGCGGCACCCTCATCGCCGCCTTCCCATCACCCTCGTTGCCCTCACTCTCCCCCCATCACCCTTTCTCTCTCCCCTCACATCACCCTCCTTGTCGCCGTCGCCCTCGCCTCAAATCGCCCTTCCTCTCTCCCTTCGCATCACCCATGTCGTAGCCCTGTCGCCCCCCAAATCGTCCCGTCTCCCTTTCGTTCTCCCTCTCGTTCTTCCCGTCGCCCTAGATGCAGCCGTCGCAATTTCCTCTCCCACCCACCATCACCCACCCCATCGCCTTTCCGCTCGCCACAAAACGCCTTCCCGTCCCCCACCCACTTTCTCCTCCCATCGCCTGCCTCGTCGCCTTCCCTCTCTACCCTCCCATCCCGTCGTTCCTCCTCTCTACCCTCCCATCCCGTCTTTCTTCCTCTCTCCCCTCCCATCACGTTGTTCCTCCTCTCTTCCCTCCTATCCCGTCGTTCTTCCTCTCTCCCCTCCCATCCCGTCGTTCCCCCTCTCTCCCCTTCTCTCCCGTCGGCCCCCTTGTCCCCAGTCCCTTCTCTTCGCCGTCGACCAATCAACCGTCCCGACACCATTCCTCTTTTCGTACATCATTCATTTCTTTATTTCTATCTTCTTCGCCTGATTTCACCTGTGTGTGCCATGGATTTTGCTTGTTCATGCCAGTGTTTGCGCAGGATTTTGCTAGTTTTTGCCTGTGTGCGCGCTGGATTTTGCCTGTGTGTGCGCTGTTTTTTGCACATAGGAATTCTTGTGAAGTTACGACGGCTGCTTTGTTGAACGTGGGATTGCAGCCTTGCGCCAAATTCATACAGGAATCTGGGTGAAAATCGCCAATCAGATTTGTAAACAAGTACATCATGTTTTCCGTTCAGATCAAGACTCGTCTGGGATGAAAAAACGTAAAAACGCACAGGCCGTCAACTTTTCAAACGTTCGTAACAAACTTGTGTTTTCAAGTGGACCCAACTAGAAGGGGGGGGTCACTATTTTAGCTTCTGGCTTTAATCACGTTTTGCTGGGTGAATCCCCTTTCGCACTCCACAGTGCTGAGGGGAATCACAGCCACCGCCACCCAGAGTTGCACCAGATTGGGATAGCTCTCCCGCCAGTCTGGCGTCTTGAGGATCGCCGATAGTCCGCTGTGGAAGCTCCTCTCTTCCTTGGGGGCACGTGCAAGGACTGAACAAAAGAGGCGAAGCTCCTTGCCTGCCTGCCTCTTGTTGATGCCTGGTGGAAGGGAGGGAGGGAGGGTTAAGATGAGGCACATGAGCAAACAGGTGCACCACAAAGGATTTTCAAGCATAGATATGATATCATGTCAAAGTATATGCATGTTATATCTGTGTAGGCTGTAGTGGGGTAGCCAATATGGGGTACAGCCCCGTTTAGGGTTTCATACTTGTACCCAACTCTTCCATAGTGCATTCATTCCTGCTGCTAGATTCTAACATGGTATCAGAGCACTAGGTCCGTAGGACCGTCTTTTTTTCGGGCCCACCTACCGTTGCGGTTATCGCGCTACCCCACGTGTTGTCCTGCGCCTGCCTGCCCTGCCTTGTGACGTGCTGCGCTGCGCGCGCCGTCCTGCAGCCCTCGCGCTGCCTCCTGCTGCCCTAGGCCAGCGTGCCGCCCCTGCAGGCCCGTAAGGCCAGCGCGCCGCCCCTGCAGGCTCGTAAGGCTCACGCGCCGCCCCTACAGGCCCGTCAGACCCACGAGCCGCCCCTGCAGGCCCGTCAGGCCTGCGACCGCCCCTGCAGGCCCGTCAGGCCAGAACGAGGCCCCGCCCTGCCTCTGACGCGGCCGCGCCCAGCCTCTGACGTGGCCGCGCCCTGCCTTCGACGCGGCCGCGCCCTGCAGCCGACGCGGCCCCGCCCTGCCTCTGACGCGGCCGCGCCCTGCCCCTAACGCGGCCGCGCCCTGCAGCCGACGCGGCCCCGCCCTGCCTCTGACGCGGCCGCGCCCAGCCTCTGACGCGGCCGCGCCCTACCTTCGACGCGGCCGCGCCCTGCAGTCGACGCGGCCCCGCCCTGCCTTCGACGCGGCCGCACCCTGCAGTCGACGCGGCCCCGCCCTGCCTCTGACGTGGCCGCGCCCTGCCTCTGACGCGGCCGCGCCCTGCAGCCGACGCGGCCCCGCCCTGCCTCTGACGCGGTCGTGCCCAGCCTCTGACGCGGCTGCGCCCTGCCTTCGACGCGGCCGCGCCCTGCAGTCGACGCGGCCCCGCCCTGCCTTCGACGCGCCGCGCCCTGCAGTCGACGCGGCCCCGCCCTGCCTCTGACGCGGCCGCGCCCTGCCTCTGACGCGGCCGCGCCCTGCCTCTGACGCGGCCGCGCCCTGCAGCCGACGCGGCCCCGCCCTGCCTCTGACGCGGCCGCGCCCACCCTTTGACGCGGCCGCGCCCTGCCTCTGACGCGGCTGCGCCCTGCAGCCGACGCGGCCCCGCCCTGCCTCTGACGCGGCTGCGCCCTGCCGCCGACGCGGCCCCGCCCGGACGCCGACGCGGCCCCGCCCGGACGCCGACGCGGCCCCGCCAGCCCTGAAGCTGACGCGGCCCCGACCTGCCGCTGACGCGGCCCCACCTGTCAAGTTACAAAATTATAAGTGTTGACTAAGGAAAGTGAAAACAAGCAAGATATAGCAAGCATAACCCTAACCCTAGAAAAACATAAAGTACACCTAGACTAACACAAATAAGCTATAAAAAATATAGCTTGACACACCCCCATAGTCTAGGTGACGGTAGTCCTGTGGAAAGCAACACACAGCAAGGGTCACAGGACCAGTTCGCAAAAAACACAACAAATCTCGGGGTGGATCTCAAGATCACCACACAGTCCGAGAACAAGCGAGGGGCCACAAGGCCAGTCCACATGCAAGGATATATAGCAAATATAAAGAGATGCCAGAGCACAAAGCAAAGCATCTCTATACAAGCAAGTGAGGGCCTGTACACACAAGGCCAAGCTGGGTGCAGAAACGATGGTGGTCACAAGGCAGCAACGCCTTGGTGAAGATATCTGCAGTGTTGGCCTCAGAGACCACACGTACCACGCGTGCCTGGCCACGCTGCTGCAACTCATGCAGAAGGAAGTAACGAAGCTGGATGTGCTTCGCCTTCCCAACCAGTCGAGGCTCCTCACACAACAGGACAGCAGACCTGTTGTCGGCGAACAAGACTGGGGGAGAGCGAGGCCGCTCACCAAGGTCGGTGAGAAGGAAAGACAGCCAGCGAAGCTCCTGAGCGGCCATGGCCGCAGCGTACACCTCTGCCTCACAGCTGGAACCGGCGACAGACGACGCCCGAGTCGACCGCCACGAAACAGCACCTGCTCCGAGGCTAAAGGAGTACCCCTGTGTAGACCGGCGCGTCTCCGCGTCGTCGGCCCACGACGAGTCTGAGTAACCTGTAAGTGTAACTGGCTGCTTCCCTCCAAGGACAAGTCCCATGCCTGATGTACTCGCCACATACTTCTGTCAGATTTATATGACAGAGCTACTGTAGGCTATAGTGGGGTAGCACATATGGGGTACAGTTTTCTAGGGTTTGCATTTTGTACCCAACTTTCCCTTAGTCATTTTCCCTTTCCTCGTTTCTTCTCTTGGTATCGAGCAGGTTCCCTAGTGGGAACGATTCCTAGGGCCCACCACCACGAAATTTTTTTTTTCCTGCCCGGAGCGCGCTTCGCTCAGGCCCGAGTCGCGCCCTGGGTGCTCCCCAATTACCGTCGCGCCCTCGCTAGGCCCCTCACGGCCCCGTCGCGTCGCCCTTAGCGGCCCCCTCACGGCTCGTCGCGCCGCCCCTTACGGCCCTTCGTGCCGCCCTTACGGCCCGTCGCGGCCGTCGCGCCGCCCTTACGGCCCCTCGTGCCGCCCCTTACGGCCCCTCGCGCCGTCCCTTACGGCCCCTCGCGCGGCCCCTTACGCCCCTTACGGCCCCTCGCGCGGCCCCTCACGGCCCCCTACGGCTCGTCGCCGCCCTCCGCGGCCCCGCCACCTACCTGTGCGGCCCCGCCACCTACCTGCGGCCCCGCCACCTACCTGCGGCCCCGCCACCTCCTAGCGGCCCCGCCACCTACCTGCGGCCCCGCCACCTACCAGCGGCCCCGCCACCTACCCGCGGCCCCGCCACCTACCTGTGCTGGCCCCGCCACCTACCTGCGGCCCCGCAACCTACCAGCGGCCCCGCCACCTACCGGCGGCCCCGCCACCTACTAGCGGCCCCGCCACCTACCTGCGGCCCCGCCGCCTCCTCTCAGCGGCCTCGCCGCCTCCTCCCAGCGGCCCCGGGCGCCGCCCTCTCAGCGGCCCCGCCGCGCCGCCAAGCAGCCGAGCCGCCCAGCCGCCGAGCCGCCCGGCAGCCGAGCCGCCCAGAAGCCGAGCCGCCGAGCCGCCCAGCAGCCGAGCCGCCGAGCCGCCCAGCAGCCGAGCCGCCGAGCCGCCCAGCAGCCGCGCCGCCGAGCCGCCCTGCAGCCGAGCCGCCGAGCCGCCCAGCAGCCGAGCCGCCGAGCCGCCCTGCAACCGAGCCACCCGAGCCGCCCTGTCCGGTAAGAGCAGCGCCTCTTTCACAGCACTGCCCTCACCCTACTGTTTGCGCTGCTAGTCTACTGCTGTCATGGCTACCCCTAGTGTCCTCGCTTTTGATGCTGAGGGTCGGGCCATTGACTTTGACGTCTGGATAGATGACCTGCAGCTTTTCTTACAGTGCGACAGAGCAGACGGCCTCTCCCTCTTTGACCTCACTTCTGGTGCCTCCCCTGCCCCCGCTGCTGATGCTGACGCCACTGTTCGCTCACAGTGGGCCACGCGCGATGCTGCTGCACGTCTTGCTGTGCGTCGCCACCTGCCTACCTCTGAGCGTGCGCACTTTAGCCAGTACAAGAGTGCTCACACCTTGTACGACGCTGTAGTTGCGCGCTACTCCTCCCCTGCCACTGCTGCACTGAGCCGCCTCATGCTACCGTACCTCTTCCCTGACCTTGCTGCCTTTCCCACAGTCGCTGACCTCATTACGCACCTCCGCACTAGTGACACTCGCTACCGCGCTGCGCTTCCTGCTGAGTTCTGCGCCAAAACCCCCCCCCCCATGTACATCACCCTCTACTACATAGTCACCCGGCTCCCTGACTCCCTTCGCGTAGTCAGGGACCACTTCCTCTCAGTTTGCCCCACCACTCTCACCGTTGACCTCCTCGAGAAGTCCCTCCTAGCAGCAGAGAAGAGCATAGTCGCTGTAGGAGCCTCTCGTGGTGACCCTCGCACCCCCATCTTTGAGGGGTGTTCCCCCTCCCCCCTTTTGCCCTCTGTTGCCTCTGCTGCTGCGGCCGACCTCGTTGGGCTTGAGTCGGTCGGTGCGGCGTCTACCCCTAGCGGGAGACGCCGCCCTGGCAAGGGCAAGGGGGGCAGGGGCACTGGAGGAGCTAGCGGGGGCGGTGGAGGCGGCGGTGGAGGCAGTGGAGGGGGTGGGGGTGGCGGTGGGGGTGGTGGTGGGGGTGGAGGTGTCGGTGGCGGCGGTGGAGGCGGAGGCGGCGGCGGCGGTGGCGGTGGGAGCGGAGGTAGCGGCGGTGGAGGAGGCGGCGGCGGAGGAGGTGGAGCTGGTCGGGGTGGCGCTGCGCAGAGGGTTGG